TCGAAGTGCTTAATTGTTTGGTCAAAGTAATAGATTATTTGGTCCAGGGTGGTTGAAGTGATGGATTGTCTAATCAAAGTAGTAGATTGTTTGGTTGAAGAGGTGATTGAAGTAGTGGATTGTTGAGTCAAAGTAGTAGATAGTTGGGTCAAAGTGGCAGATAGTTGGGTTGAAGAAGTGATAGATGGTTAGGTCAAAAAAGTGATAAATAGTAAAGTAATAGATGGTAAAGTAATAGATGGTTGAGTCAAAGATGTAGTGGATGGTTGGGTCAAAGAAGTTGTTGTGGGTAGTTGAGTTGAAGAAGTTGTAGAAAGAGTTGTAGATGGTTGGGTCGAAGGAGTTGTAGATGGTTGAGTCAAAGGAGTAGCAAAAGCTGCCAATTGAGAAGGTTGGGTTGTTCATTAAGTTCTTTTTGTTTTAACCATGATTAAAAATAATTTTTTTTAAAAAAAACAATCTAGCGAAGTTTGGAGAAAGAAAACTTGGAAGAAAAAAAGTTGAAAAAAAAGTGTTTGATTTGGTGTTATATTTATGAAAATTTTTTAAATTCTGATTGTATTAAAAAAAAAAATCAATATAGTAAGGGAGTCATTTGACAAGTACAAATTCTAAAGTAATTAATTGTTTGACATTGCAAGCTCTAAAATAACTAATTATACAGAGTCTATACTATGATTACTTTAGAACTTGTAATTGTCAAATGACTGAAAAAAAAAATTAATATAATAATCGACTTATAGCATATAGTTAATGTCATAAAAATAATACTCAATCATATAAAATTTGATACTTTTAAACTAATATGAAATCAAAATATCATATAATACTATCATTCAAAAAAACTTGGCAAAAAACTCTTTCTGACAATCATCTAAAATTACAAAAATTAACAAAATATAGAAGAAAGATATTTAAAAAAAACCTAAATAAAGCTAGAACATAGACAAAATTAATACAAAACGCAAGAGAACAATTGACATAACAACTAACATAACAACAAAACAACAACAGTACAAAAAATACAACAAAAAAACTAAAAACATCAACAACTAGTCCTCAACGGACTTGGTAGAAGAATACAGCTTGCAAAAGCAAAATAACACATATATACCAATATATGCACCCAAGCTACCAATAGACAACAGTATGGACAACCAAGAAATACAGAATACAAACAACAACCAACAAACTTCTGCCCAAAGTAAAAGACGCTGCTACAACAATATACCCATCTCTACAACTTACAAAAAATCGACAAAAAGTGGGCAAGACAGCTTACTCTTGCCAAAACACTCTATGACATCATACGTTATACAAAACAACACAATAACAACCATAACAGAAAATAACAACAACAACAACACAACAATCACGGGAAACACAAACACACAAAATAATACAAATATAGCAGATGCACAAACACAG